CTTTAACTTGAGAATATCTGTCAGAAAAAAATCATAGCATGTAATTCGTCTTTAAAAAGACAATCACATGACATGATGACAGTAAAATTCTCCTGTTAGTGATTCCATAGTAAATTATGAGGGAAAAAACCAGGAAAAACCTTATAATACTATCCCGACATTGTAAGTATTTGTTCGTGAATTTAGTTTACCTTCAACAAACATCAAAATTCTTTAAATTTTTAAAAAATCTGTTTTATTAAAAAATGATTATCCTTTATCGTTTATAAATAAGGAATTTTCAACAATCGATCGAATAGAACAGAACAACTTAGAACGAGATCCTACAGCATACACAAGGAATAATATGAGGAAAATAACAATACCGTACATAAAAGGACTATCAGAAAAACTTAAAAGGATAGGAAATAAATTCAACATTTCAACAACATTCAAGACAACAAACACGTTAAGATCTATTTTGTCCAAAACCAAACCTAACAATGAACAAGAAAGGACAAAGAATTACATTTATAAAATACCTTGTGAATGCGATCAGTTTTATTTAGGTGAATCATCAATGCCATTAAATATTAGAATAAGTGAACATCAATCTTATATTAAAAATAGAGAATTTGATAGATCTCAAATCTGTAAACACGCATGGGATAATGAACATAGGGTTCAATGGAATAATTCAAATGTAGTCCTAAAAGAAACGGATGGTAAAAAAAGAAAAATCAAAGAAGCGGCTCTAATTATGCTAAATAAGGCCAATTGTGTCGCAAATTCCTCGGCAGAATGTAGTAGGATCTGGTTACCAATATTGAAAGAGGAAGTTATTAATAAGAAAATACCAGTATTAGTAAGTCAGTAACATATAGAGGATACATCATTTATGTTTTTTAAATAACGTAACATTTAAAATCAGAATTTTGATGTTTGTTGAAGGTAAACTAAATTCACGAACAAATACTTACAATGTCGGGATAGTATTATGAGGTTTTTTCCTGGTTTTTCCCTCATAATTTACTATGGAATCACTAACAGGAGAATTTTACTGTTATCATGTCATGTGTTTGTCTTTTTAAAGACGAATTACATGCTATGATTTTTTTCTGACGGATTTTCTCAAGTTAAAGTTGATTTCATGTAATTGAATGAACTATCTTATAAGTAAAGTCGTTTCAGGAGCGCAACTCAACAATATTGGCAATATCATTTTAAAGTCGTCTACTTTAAAATGCATAATGTATGTCTGAATTGTCAATATAAATGAGTCAGATAAAATTAAATTATTAGAAGAATTTTTCACTATATAACAAAAAAAAATTTGTTTAATTTACTATTTGTATTTTGAGAACGATTTTCGAAGTGGAAATTGAAACGTCAATAAACGTATTTTTATCTTTAATTGTGGCTTATTCCCAGTTTAATAGTAACTGAAGAGTTCTATTCGAGACTCAGCAACTTATGCCTAACTCCAACTATCCTACTTCTAATATCGCCCTAGACAAAGCAGTGGAAGAAGCAAAAACTAGGATGCAAATTAAAACCACAATATCAATTCCAAGAACAGTTAAAGAACATTTCCTAAAATAAAAGCAAAAGGTCAATATCAACAAGACAAAACAAAATACATGTTTTACAAGACAAGTCAAAACCAGAAGAGATAGAAATAGAATGGGACAAAATGTATTAATGAGAGACTTCAATTTTGAAAGAGTCCGAAAATATAAATATTTAGGAGCAATAATAACAGACGATAACAACACAAAAAAGTAATTTAAGCTAGAATCATCGCAGGCAACATGTGTATGTATTCTACAGTAATCATTCTTAAACCAAAATACATTTCTAGAAAAACTAAAATACTAAGACCTATAGTATTATAAAGATGCAAAACCAAGTGCCTCAAAGTGAGTGCCTTTTATTTTTAGCTAAACTTTCTTCTTTTTCTGACACAGACTCCACTAATGAGAGTTGGCTATAACCATTGCAAATTCGTCTATATCTTCTGCTGTTTTTAAAAGCGTCTGTGTCCGGTCCAATTGCGAATGTTTTTCAGCCAGGATATTTTTTGTTGTCTAACAGGAACCTTTTTTCCTTTAATTTTACCCTTTATAATCAGTTGCAACAACTTGTACTTCTCATTTCTAAGTATGTGCCCAAATATGCGGTCTTTCTTCTTTTAATGGTGGTAAAAAGCTCTCTCTCTCTCTCTCTCTCTCTTTTCCCATTCTGTGTAATACCGTTTTGTTCGTAAAATCGACATCTCAAAAGCTTCCAGCTTTCTTATTAACTTAACATTAACAGTCCCTGCTTCCACATCATAAATAAAAGTAGAGTGGATATAACATTTTACCATACGATATCGGATTAGCAGATTGAGAGATTAGTTACTTAGAAATTTCCTCATCTTCAAAAAGCTGCTCTTGATCAAATTTCTGATTTCGGATTTAGATATTCACTAATCCAGGCTCCTAAGTACTTCATTTTGTCCACTTGTTCGATTTATGATTTTACCTCTCTTACTGGTAACCATGGTTTTTATTTTCTTTATGTTTATTGTTAAACCAAACGGCTCACCAGTATAACAAATAGTACTTATTTAGTAGTGTCTGAAGGTCTTTCTCACTTTAAGCGATAGTAACTGTATCGTCGGAATAACGAATGTTATTTATGTTTTCAGCATTTATCTTAATCTCATCTGTACAGTTTTTAAGTGCTTGTGTAAATAACTATTCGGAGTATATATTAAATAGTAATGGTAAAAGTACACAACTTTGTCTCTCTCCTCTACGTATCTACTGCGCATCCGTGCATTAGGTACGTACGAAATGAAAAATATTTATTCTTTACAATAACATACTACGTTATTTAGGGGAAGTGCGGGAACAGTGTTACAAAGGGAACAGTGTTACATTTACTTTCTGTTCCAACTCTTGGTAGATAGGCGAACTACATGTACCGTAACCTCATTAAAGGTCGGATGCCTTCCATAAATCATATCATATCGTAGTTGAATACAAGTGTTTTGTAGTCACATATTTTCATAACAGTTTTTATACCTGTGAAAAGTAAAATTTTTAAGATCTAAGTGTATTAGTATATGGGTAAGTACGTTAGTAATTCATTAATTTTATATTATGGATGGAAAGTAAATATATTTCCATTGGATTTACACTTAAAACCATAACCTATATTTCATTACCGCGCTAAAAATTTAGTTCTATGTGCATTGGCGTTCAAAAGTGAACAGTGTTACAGGGTACACTGTTACAAAAATTCTTGTAACACTGTACCCCTAGTAAAACAATTAATTATAAATTTCTTGATTACAAATTTATTTTAGTGAGAAAATGCCACGTAAAAGCAAAGGTGTAAGAACCCTCTTAAAAACCGATGAGAAGATTATCAAAAAAGCTGTTCTTGATGTGCTTCAAAATAAAATGAGCATTAGAGGAGCAGCGAAAAAATACAAATTATGTCATATGACGTTAAAACGTTACATAAATAAATACAAAAATTCAGAAAATCCTCAATCAATAAAATTTGAACCAAATTACCAAATAAATCAAATTTTTTCCAAAGAGTTGGAAGATGAACTCGAATCATATTTAATAACAGCAAGTAAAATACATCATGGTTTGACCCGCAGAGATACCTTGGGACTAGCCTATCAATTAGCTGTAAGTAAATTGTTACAACAATTTAAATTTGTCTACTTGGAATTTTTATGTTTCAGGTTCGCAATGGCCTAAAAATCCCGAAAAACTGGGATACTAATAACTCAGCGGGAATAGACTGGTTAGTGGGATTTCGTAAGAGGCATCCCATATTGTCTCTTCGCAAACCTGAAGCAACAAGCTTATCAAGAGCCACAAGCTGTAATCGGACTAATGTAAATGCTTTCTTCGAAAATTTAATCAAAGTATATGGAAAATTTGGAGATAGCATATCCCCCGATTTGATATATAATTTGGATGAAACTGCAATCACCACGGTATATAATCCACCGAATGTGCTGTCTGCTAAAGGACAAAAACAAGTTGGCCAGGTAACATCAGGCGAGAGAGGAGTGCTGATTACCGCTTGTTGTATTATCAATGCTGTTGGAAACACTGTTCCTCCATTTTTAGTTTTCCCAAGGGTACATTTCAAAAATCAAATGTTATTTGGTGCCCCTGCAGGCTCAAGTCGCAGTGCAACAAAGAGCGGTTGGATGAACGGGGAAATTTTTGTTGAGGTTCTGATCCATTTCCAAAGACATGTTTAGTGTTCAAAAGAAAACCCCGTGATACTAATTTTTGACAATCACGAATCGCATATCACAATTGGCTCTTTGGAATTTGCAAAACAAAGCGGGATAATTATGGTTACGTTGCCACCACATACAAGTGTGAAACTTCAACCTCTTGACAAAACTGTTTATAAAAGCTTAAAATCCAATTATAATTCTGCTTGCAACGACTGGATGATCTGCAACCCTGGAAAAGTCATTTCCATCTATGATGTTGCTGCTCTATTTGGTAAAGCATTTCCTAAAGCATTCTCTATCTCAAACATAGTCAATGGGTTTTCTTCGACAGGCATATGGCCTTTAAATCGAAATATATTTACAGACGATGACTTTTTGTCATCCAGTGTGCAGACCGCTCTCTGGCTACAGTAACTTCATTGCAGACTTCAAACAGAGATCAACCTCAGCCTTCTACCTCGGCACAAGTTCCTTGAGACGTAGCATATGAGCATACATTACATGTAACAGATTCGAATCATAAGACTATAGTTTCAAAGTCTCTAACTAGTCCTTCCACTTCAACTCTTTCGCCTTCACCTCGCATTGTAATACCTTCATCGACCCCTCCTAGAAATATACAGCACCAACAAGAGGAGAGACCCTCTATGTCAAGTGTATTGGTCAAACAAACAACTTTAATTTCACCTGAACTCGTTAGACCCTTTCCAAAAGCCCCATCAAGGAAAACAAACATCACAGAAAGGAAAAAAGGAAAATCATGGTGCTAACAGACACTCTTATTAAGGACGAATTAGTAAATGAATTATTGAAACGAAGTAGAAAGAAAGCGAAGGCTGTAAAGAAAAAAATCATTAAGGAGAAAAAAGATGCCGAGAGTTCTGAGGAATCAGAAGGCGAAGTTCCTTATGCTGAAAGTAATGCTAGTAACAATTTGGAAGGCGAAGAAATGGAAATGGATTATTCATCAGTTTCAGTTGACGATTATGTTTCGTGTTGCTGAAGGGGAGCCTAATAGTAATATTTTTTCGGTGGGTTTAGTTGAGGAGGAACTGGAGGAAGAATATGTGATGGTCTACATAAAGAGAATTAAACCTCTGTTTAAATTTATAAAAACTGAACAATCCTACACTTTTCGTAAGGAATATATTATACACAAATTGCCACCACCAGTTGCTGCAGGTGGAACAAACCGGACATCTGAGATGCTGGTTTTTAATATCGATTTAACAAAATTTAAAAATTCGCTTGAATAGGTTTTATCAAATTTACTTTTTCTCTATGTTGAATACCTTGATAATTTTGACATTTAGGCCTTATGTTCATAGTTTTAATTAACAATACATCTTTTCCTAATCATTTGTGTATTTAATTTCTCCTTTTTCATGTTTTTTATGCCTTGTAACACTGTTCCATGTACATTGTAACACTGTACACTACCGCAGGGTACAGTGTTACAAATGACAAATTTTCAAAGTCATGCTATACTTTCATACCTTATTCTTGTAATGTTATAATGCTTTATCAAAAAACAAAGTAAACTATATACTATCATATAATGATAAAAATAAACTTAAAATATTCATGTCCATCAACTTTGTGACGAATTAAAAAAGTTGTAACACTGTTCCCGCACTTCCCCTACAATAACATTTCCTATGAACGTACCAAAATATTAACACTGTTACTTAGTGGTATGTTGTTCACTTGTTCCAAATATGTACATATATATTTATAAATTACATAGGTAGTTTACAGTGTAATAATTATTATATTGATTCGAAGAAAAAAATCTTCCAGTGTAACTGAAAAAATAAAAAAATAAAAAAAAATGAAAAAATAAAAATGAAAAAATTATTTTGTAATCGTGATATTAGTATTCATCTACGAACTAGAATGTTAAAATACTATGTATTCAGTACTTTGCTTTACGGTGTTGAGGCATGGACTCTTAAACAGAGGAATATTAAAAATCTTGAAAGCTTTGAGATGTGGTGCTACCGCCGTATACTAAGAATTAGTTGGGTGGATAGAATTATAAATGAAGAGGTTATACGCAGAATAAATAACGATGCAGAAGTTATTATGAATATAAAAAAGAGAAAACTTGAATACTTTGGCCACCTGATGAGAGGACAAAAGTACACGTTCCTACAAAATATAATGCAAGGAAAGATCCAAGGACGCAGAAATCCAGGCCGTAGAAAAATGTCCTGGATGAGAAATTTAAGAGAGTGGTTGGGCTGTACCACTAACGAATTATTCAAAACAGCAGTTAATAAAATTAGAATCGCCATAATGATATCCAATCTCCGATAGAAGAGGCACTCAAAGAAGAAGAAGAAGTGTAACTGATAATAAAATTTGTTTGTGGGAATTTTCCAAAAAAGGTTTTCGATTTAGTTTTTCTTAGAAAGTACCTTTGAGTTTATATAATTTTCCAATTTTTTAAAATTACACGATATCTTTTTTTATTCATTTAATTCAGGTTGGATATGACTCAACATCTAGTTTAGTACTAAAAAATCTACCAAACGAAGGAGTAAGTTTAATTACTTATATATTTATTTCAATATTAAAAACAGGTTAGTTTCCACTCCAATGGAAAGTTTCTTAAATTGTTCTTACTCCAAAACCTAATAAGGATAACACGGAAGTATCTTCATATCGTCCGATCAGCTTGTTGCCTATTGTATCCAAAGTATTCGAACGGCTTTTTCTGAGAAGACTAGAGCTTATTTTATATGACGGTTATATGACAGGTTTTATCGAATTACCAATTTCCAGAGTTCCACAAGGAATCATACTAGGACCCACCCTCTACTTAATATACACATCAGATCTCCCAACGACGATCAATACAACAATCGCTACATACGCCGATGACACAGTCATCATAGCTTCAAATTCTAAAACAACTGAAGCATCCCAGGTACAAAACCACCTACTAAAACTAGAGAGTTGTAACTGTGGCGAGTCCAAATTAACAGTTTAAAATCAACACAAATAACGTTTACTTTAAAAAAAGGTGTCACACCACCAGTTTCTATAAACAACACTTCACTACCAGTTAATACCGTCGTTAAATACTTGGGAATTCATTTATTTAGCAAACTTAATTGGGGTATCCACATTTGGAAGAAACGCCTTCAACCCAGCTTAATCTACAGGAAAATGTATTGGTACATGAGTCGAAAATCAAATCTTAGCCTGGAGAACAAACTTCTGATATATAAATGTATTTTAAAACCGGTATGGCAATATGCAGCACAAATCTGGGGTACAGCAAGTAATACCAACATACAAAAACTTCAACGATTTCAACCGAAAGTACTGCGCTAGATCTGCAATGCCCCTTGGTACATTACGAACCAAAGATTACACCACGATTTACAGTAACCAACAGTAAGCGAAGCAATATCTACTGTAAACTCTGTATACAAGACCAGACTATCCTGCCATCCAAATTCGCTGAATACGGATCTGCTCAACATTTCACACGTAAGAAAATTAAAACGATCAGACCCTTTAGACATCTAGTAAATCTGGAGAAACATAGTATAGTGTCATAGTGTTGTGAAATAATAAGTTTTTATTCTAGTGTTTTCCAAATCTTTTCTTGTTTTTTTAGTCGTGTAATACTCATATGTGTGTTAGCGATGTTTATCTGTATTAAACTTTGTTAAGTTGAAGTTTAAACTAATTGTTATATCATAGATCATATTTATATTATGTCTTACCTGTGTGCTCGTCACTGGGCGGCTTCCCACTATGTTATTGTACATAAATTATACATATTGCTTATTGTTTGTAATGAGACAGATTGCAATAAACATTGGATGTTAAATAAAAAATAATAATTTAGGTTGGATATAAAAAGTCTGGCGTTCAGAAAATTAAAGAAGCGAATTACCTAAGAATTATTTTTGGAGGATAGAAGAGAAAAGATAAAAATAAGGGAACCAAGAAATCATCTTAGAATGAATGTTTGAAGAATTCGGTTGTCAAAGTATAGGAACAGTGAATTTTCGAAAAACTTAATTCAATTCATTACAAAGGAAGAGTGTGAGTGAAAGTGATTGTTCCGCGGGAGTCCTGGATAGATAGAATATGTAGCGTTTTATATTTAATGTCTATATAATAATATAAATTCGGTTCTAAATTGTCATAGTACGCCCCTGGTATACTAAGATATGTGTTGTGTCTGTTATGGAAGTCGAGATTTTTAAATATGTAATAAAGCTTCAAAAATAAAGACGTATTTGGCAGTTGAGAATGATTTTGTTTATCTAGTCAACAAATATTCAGCTTAAAAATAGTTTCTTAGAAAAATAATCGCACAGTCAGGTAATTTTTGTTACCACGCAAAAATAATAGGAATTTCAAGGTTGTGTGAAAGAAGTCTTGTTTAAGTTTGTGGATGACAGGCTAACTGCGGGGAAAAGGGGTGATTCGGCGTTCGAATTGGGAGAAGGAGCGCGGAGCGCGGTGGGTGCGGCAGTCAAGCTTAATCAACCGAAGGGGAGAGTCATATCGATTTGAATCGATTTTTTCGATTCAATCGTTTATTTTTTTGGTAATGTTTTAATACCAAAAAAAATGAAGATATTTTTGGTTTTTAATTGCCGTCTTTGAACAGAGTACTTCATTTTATATCGTTTACCTATAGTATGGTAGTCACCGGAAGATTTGAATGAATGCCGGAAGCTTTTGCGAAGTGTGGTGTAAGGTGTTCCAAATGCTAGCTCGATTCCTCAACCAGCCTGTTTGATCGTTCGTCCCGAACGAAATGTGAAAATGATTCCTGATGGTTGCTGTTTTTCCAGTTTGAGAGTTTTGTCGGAGTAAGCTTCACCAGAGATATAACAAGTTTCAAAGTTAAGTGATTGTAAAAAAATTTTAAGGTAACTTTTAATATATTAATCTTTCCAAGTTATATGGACATTATTAATAAATGCTTACATTAATAAAATTTGTAATAACTAAAGATTTATATTATGTGGTCATAGATAAAAATATCATAATTTAATCTGTCTTAAATTGTTATGTTGACAGATGACATTTTGCTTTAATCCATTGTTGTTATAAGACAATTTTAATTTGATTATTTTATATAAAAGATATTCCATATTTATATAAGGTTAAATTCAATAATATTTTTCATAAAAAGGATATCCATAAAATTTTGATAATCTAAATTGGCCATATTATAACCTAGAAACGATTTGAAATTTTGTAGTAATCTTTGATGTAAACAAAGACATGTAAGTTTTGTTTATTTTGTATTATGATATAGTATGTTTCTTTTGTAATCTATATTTTGGATAACTGTTTGTTTGAGACAAGAATAAACATTCAATTTGTTTCTCTGAACATGTTGTGTTTCAATTTAGAAAAGTCTCCTAACCCTTGTATGTATGTTAGATTGTAGGGAAGAAGATTTTTTTCTTTCTCCCAGCAGGAAGTTTTCTTCGAAGCGGCGTCCAAGAAAAGAAAAATAGCTAGAGGTAAATTTATCTGCCATATCTTTTTCGTTTTTTTTTGAGGAGATTTATGTAAGTATCCTTTTGTTTTCATTTTGTAGATACCCCAATCCAACCCCCATATCTTCAACTTATCCACGACCCAGCTCTCCAACAACCAACTGAGTGCCGTACGCATTTGTTTACTGAGGTAAGCAAAATATAGTCGTTACAAAGATAGTTAAAGCCGAGAGACACTGTAAATTATTTGCTTTCCTTTTTCACGAAACTCGAGAATTTTATCATCCTGAATTTGGTATGAAGGAGACAAATGATTGGGATTGTTATTTCGATATATTTTGAACAAATTTTGGAAGAAAAATGATTTTTTTATCATAGACCAGAAATTTAGTTTTTATCGAGAAATTTGTATTATGTTGAGAGGAACTAGTCATATTAAATTACTGGAGTATTCGATTTTATTTCAAAGTCTGTGATAGGAACTATAATATAAACAAAAATTTTGATCGAACAATCAATG